GAGTGAACCGGCCAGCGCCCAGGCCTGACCCTTGGGGCCGAGGTCTGCGGACGGCGCCCGGGTAACGTCCTCAGCGGGCGGCTCCCCGGAGGCAGGGGCGTCTGAGCGGGGGGCTCGGTGGTTGCGAGCAGGGCCTGACGCTGGGGCGGAAGTCAGGGTCCGCGCGGGCGGCGTTGGAGCCGGTCTGTGCCGGCCGCGTCGGGCTCCGTCCTCCGGGCTGGCCCGGCCCCCAGGGCCCGGCCGTGGACCAGCGGAGCCCGGTGGACCCCGCCTCTTGCCGGCCTCGGAGCTCGCGGGCCAGAGGCGTCCCTGTCCCCCGCAGGGGACACCTGCAGTCCTGTCCACTCCGTCCCCGGGGTTCAGGCCGCCCGCGCTGCCGCTGCTCGGGACCCCTGCCTCTTCGCATCCCTTCTTGTCCTCTACAGCTTGTTCAGTACTGAGAAGCGAGCACCATGATCTTCAACCGAAATCTCACAAGTCCCCGACCCTCTCCCCATGCTGTCACCCTTTGCGGGATTCCCGCAGCTCTTCCAGGCTCTTGCACGGGCTCGCAGTGCGCGGGATTGAAGCTTGGCATTAAGCTACATGCCTAGGCCTTGTACGAAATATTTTGAGGCAGGGTTCTTGGCAAATCACAGTTATCCAGATCTGCCTCAAATTTGCGATTTTCTTATCTCAGCCTTCCAGAGTGTTGGGATGACAGGCTTGGACCCCCACGCTGGCTCGAAGCCCTTTGGAACCTGTCCGCTTTGTACCTAACTCAAGACTCAGTGCTATGTCTTCAGCCACAGCTTGAATGCTTTAGTTGCTAGATCGGACTGAGTCCCTCCTGGGCTTAGATGTTTATTCTATGTGTCGCTTCTGTCTGGGGCTCTGTCCTTTGGCTGAAAGAGCCCTCATGCTTATTCCGAGGGGGACTTGGGCTTCTGCCATACCGCACAGATGGCTGTTGACTGTTCTGTCCACCAGGCCGCAATCTGTGTGAGAGGAGTCTTGTCTGGGTCACACCTGTCCTTAGTGCCTCATGCTGTCCCGCTGTTTACGTGGTACCAGGAGGTTCACATGGTAATGTACCGTATCAGTGAAGCATGACTACTCTTTGGGCCCCCCAGTGAAGGAACAGATCAGGCCAGTTCTCAACTGACAGCCCATGTAGAGGTTTCTTTAGCCCAGGAGCTTGATTGGTTTCTTCTTGCCTTTTGTTTTAAACTTTCGCAGTGGCAAAGGGGGAAATCCTGGTCAGGGTGTTCTTTGGCATTGGCTCTGGGTACAGCACGTCTAGGTGTTGGTGAGAGTGGCTTCTTTGAGGGTGAATTCATAACTGAGGGCCCTCGGCTGGAGGAAAAGCTGCCAGCAGCTGCTAGAGGAAGGCTGGCTTCACTTGCTGGTGGGGCTCCTGACACAATGAGAGGGAAGGCCAGGCCAGGCCAGGCCGGCAGGCGGAGGCCCAAGGGCCGTTCAGGGTTAGGTCAGACCCCCCGCAGCAGCGTAAGGAAAGACTCAGACCCACTGCGCAGCTCTTGAGAGAAGGAAAGACCTGCTGCCACATATGGTGGCCCTCAGTGGGGGAAAGAGGAAACAGAAAAGGAAAGCAGTGTGTGACCCTCTGTTCTGGCTAGTGAGGGTGAGAGGCTGCAGACTGAGGGCAGTGAGTGGGAAGCCACTGCTGGCCAGAAGAATTTGTAGGTGATGGTGGAAGCTGCGCGAGGGAGAAGGAGATGGAACCAGTGTGGGCAGAGGCTGTGGAACTGGAAGAGGCCGTAGGAGCAGTGGGGAGCTGTTAGAGTCCAGTCTCGCTGCCCACTACTGACAGTGGCCCAGCGCCTCCCGGGGCTGAGGCTGCTCCTTGGGAGGAGTATGGAGGCCCCGGTTGAGGTCTAAAGTCGCTCTGCAGAACTGTCTCCTCTTGGGTTTTCCTCCAGCCTGGCCTGTATTAGTCCTGAGGGTCAGTTAAGTTAGGACTGCCTGGGCTTATCTTCTAGGCTGTTTGCCTGCTGGCTTGAGCTAAGTAGCTGCAAATGTGGATGATGCAATTTGTCCTTTGGGCAGAATGGAATCGCTTGTGTCTCTTTTTGGATGTGTGCAGTTTAATCTGTAAGGTGGCAGTGCTCAGGTTTTTTTTTTTTTTCCTTTTATATGTTTGCAGATTTGCGTTTATTGTGTATGAATAGTTAGAGCCTGCAACAGCAAAACAAAATGGGACAAGTTCAGCTTCAGTGATTCTTGGCTTTTGTGCTGTTTCTCTTTGAAGGGGGCATAATTTAGACCCATAGTTCCTGTATTATTAATCACTTGATTGTGTTTTGGCATTATTACCTAAATAGACCCCCCACACACACACACACTCCACTTTGAAACACTAAGCGTTCACCCATCTAGTTAGGGTGAAGGGTGCCATGGATTCTGCATCTCTCAATGTGGCTGTCTGACGGATGTCTCCAGTTTTATCCTCAGTTATATTATTAACACTTGCCACTGATCTGTGAAGGTGGTAATAGTCCTCCCAAAGGACTTCTGTGCCAAACCTGCACTCAATACCAAGAACATCCTGTCCCAGCCAGCTTCCCAGGTGGTGTTCACAGCCCTCATTAGCCATGGATGGGACCCTTCTGGAGGGAGTGTGTGGGGAGGATGCCTAACCAGACCCCAGGTGAAGAGACATCTGAAGGGATCCCAGGTGCTGCACCCACCTCCCGATCCCTTCTGTCTGGTGCTAGGTCAGTGGCAGTGGCCTCCTGGGATCAGAGCACTGTTATTTGGTAAAATTGCAAGTGTGGCTTCTGCCTACCCCGAATTAATTTCTGGAGATAAGAATGGACTGGAAACTCCTATCCATATAAGCTTTGGAACAAAATTATGCAAATGATTGTGTTAAAATATGTATTTATAAAGACTATGTTTAGGGGCTGGGGAGATAGCTCAGCGATCTGAGCACCAGCCTGGCAAGCACAAGGCCCTGAGTTTGATCCCCAACATGCCATGCTGGCCCCGAAGTCTAGGTGTACCGTGACACCCTAAAATCCGATGTGGTGGTGCACACCTATAATCCCACTGCTGAGGAGGCTGAGACAGGAAGATCACTACGAGTCTGAACTGCATAGCAATACTCTGTAACAGCAACAAAATTTATAGCAGGCACTGTTTTATTTATTTATTTTACTGGGGACCAGCAGCTTATGCTGCTGAGCTATCTTCCTGGCCCAATATCAGCCACTTGGAAGCAGTAGAAAAGCAAAATATTACCACTGCTAAGCTTGTGATGCAAGGTGGTCTTTGTTAATAGTTTTTATTATGTGTGAAATATGCATATACACCTTTTTATTTTACAAAACTTTTTGAGACAGGGTCTCACTATGTAGTACAGGCTGGTCTTGAACTTGACATGCTCCTCCTGCGTTAGCCTCCCAAGTGCTGGGATAATAGGCGTGTACCTCAATGCCTGGCTAAAAGTGAATGTTCTCTGTCGTCTTATGTAGCCTGTCAGTTTATGTTGAACGTTTTGTTATGTGGTGTGACAGATTGCGCTGTGATGTTTCCATCAGCAGTAAAGCTAGATTTTGTTTGTCACCCTGGTTGTGCATCTTGTCCCCTCTAGGGGGAGTGTCAGGGAGGGTGTTAGGGTGAATGGAGTGGCGTAGTCCAAAGAGCCTATGAGGATGGGTGAGGGGCTTGGGACACCTCTCTCAGCCCCAGGTGAAGGGCCACAGGGCGGGGCCCTTAACTTCTGCGCTCTCTTTACTGCTGTGGGCGGAATTAGTGGTCCTAGTCCAGCAGAATCAACTGCCTTTTGGGAAATGACTGTTGTGCCAGCACTTTTCCTGGCTCTCCAGCTGTCCTTGCCCTCCTTTCTGGGGTGAGTTGCCAAGCCCCAGGAGGGACCGAGACTCCAGCTAAGCCACACTTGCTAATGGCCTGCCAGGGCCATGTTGGGGAACATCCTTTCCCTGCCCTCTAGCTTGTCCTCTGGCTGATCTCACCTCCAGTCATGAATTGTTCATTGTCCTCATGGATCCTCAGGTGACGTCGGCCCGTCCTGCACAGCCCCTGGCCTTTGTACCCGGCCACTGCGGCCTGCAGCCCGCCCTCGCAGTCTGTGCCTGCCCCTCCTCACTACCTTTGTTCCTCCCATGCCCACAGGGCTGTCCAGCCCAGAAGTGTTGCCATGCCTGTCAGCATGTTCTGTCGTCCATGGACATGTCTTCTCCTGAACGCCCAGGACTTGTTTTCTCTAGTACCCTTCATTCCCTACCTTTTCTTTCCCTTCTCCTCCCCCTTCTTTTCTTGACTATGAAATTTATTTATTTTTTATTTATTTATTTTTTGTATCTGGCATTGAGCTCAGGACCTTGTGCTTGGCAGGTAAGCACTATTCTACTGAGCCGTCTCCCCAGCCCCAAGGTCTCTTTAAGGTACTAAGTAACCCAGGATGGGCTCAAACTTGTGATCCTCCTGCTTCAGCCTCCCACAGTGCCGGGATTACAGGTGGGCACCTCTTTGCTTTTCTTAGTGCTCCAAGGAGAGTGTGTTGCTTGCTGTGGACTGTAAGCAGGGGCAGGATGCATCTTTGAGTCCCTTGCAGCCCTCCTGGAGCTGCTTGGCTCTCTGAGGGTGCCTAGGAAGAAGCATTACGACCTACTTATTCCCCATTTCAGTGACCTCACCGAGTGGGGCAGAGCTGGGTTTGGGCCCAGTATGATGTGCTCTGTGCTCTCTTTCCCAGCCACACCGCCTCACTGGGTTCCCAGAAGCGTGCCGGGTCAGACCTTGAAGGAAAACTCTGGGGCTGTGTCTTCATCTTCGGTGTTTCCCACTTCCTAGGCACTGCTGACCATGAGATCTGCGTGGCTGCTGAGAACTCCCTTCCTGTACAGCCTGCTCTGGGCCTTTGGCGCTTCATGTGCCAGAGCCCATGAGCCTGGGGCCAACGCCGTCCACCCTGGCAGCGCGGGCCTGGACAAGCACACGGTGCATGACCCGGAGTATGTATTGTGCCAGGCAGAGGCCTCCCTGTCATCTGCAGCTAGCTGCAGGGGGGCCCTCGGGCCTTTTCTTCCACTTTACTTGGAGCGCTTGGGCTGGGGAGATGGTTCACGGTCTATGCACCTGCCTGGAAAGCACAAGGACCCCGGTTCGATTCCCAGTCCTGCATGCGTGCCGGCCCCAGAACCCCGGCTACATCGTGCTGACCCAAAACTGGGCGTGGTGGCACAAGCCTGTAATCCCAGCACTTGGGAGGCTGAGACAGGAGGATCACTTCAAGTCCAAACTGTATAGCGAGACCCTGTATCAAATAAATAGAAAGCACCCTCAACAATGCATATATCTGAGAGCCATCCCCGTTTGGGTGTTCTTTTCTTACTGTTGTGTCACATTGGGGCCCAGATGGGATATAATACTTATTGGAGTTCAGTCTTTGACTTCAGACTTTTTCCCATAGACAGACACATGCACAGCTGGACGTGTGTGTGTGTGTGTGTGTGTGTGTGTGCACAGACACTTGCTAGTGTGCTTATTTTTTCAGAACTGGGTCTCGTTAAGTTGCTCTGTCGGGCCTCCAGCTCGGGATCCTCCTCCTCAGTCTCCCGAGTAGCAAAGGTTACAGGCAGGTAAGCTGAAGCTTAAGATGCTGAACTTTTCAGCGTCCTCACACTTTGGCATGGTCTGACTTGTTTCTAGGCATATCCTGGAGCATCTGGAAGGTGTCATTAACAAACCAGAGGCCACGATGTCCCCACAAGAATTGCAGCTCCATTATTTCAAAATGCATGACTACGATGGCAATAACCTGCTCGATGGCCTGGAGCTCTCCACTGCCATCACTCATGTGCATAAAGAGGTCAGGCGGCGGCTGGGGCGGGTGTCCCGTGCTGTGTTCTGTGCCGTCCTTGGGCACCCATAGCACTGCTCCTCTGTGCTCTGCCTGCTGCTCTGCCGACTCCCAACGCTGCCCTTCCTGGGGGGTGTTCTGCAGAGCAGAGGCCTGGGCTGCCATGTGTATTTTGAGCTGGTGTGTCTGTCTTCCCACTGCATTGCCGGGCAGGGGACTGCGGCCTCGGAGCAGAGCCAGGGGAGGAAGTGATTGCAGCAGGGAGATGGCCAGTCAGGGCCCAGAGCCCGAGGATCCGGGGGGTGGGGGGGGCAGGGGTTGGTGTCATGCAGTACAGGTTAGGAGCTGGTTGTCCCTGGGCCACAGCCTCCCAGTGAGGGACTGAAGTCAAGCTCTCACTCCTTAGAGCCCTGTGACTGCATGCGCAGCCAGGAGCGCAGGCTGGGGTTTTCTCTGAAGGCAAGGGAGTGCTGGTAGCTCACCCAAGAGAGGCCGTGGCCTGAGGAGGTGCCGTGCGGAGGATCTGCTGCTGGTCGGACTGAAAGACAGCTGAGAGCAGCGCGGGGAGGAGGTGGAGCTGGGATCGGGATCCTTGGCAGCCAAGGGATATGGTCGGAAGGGTGCTGCAGGAGATGTGGCAAAGGAGGACTCAGCCAAGGGGGTGCATGAAGGCCCCGCTGCCCTTGCTGCTTTTCTTGTTCGTAGTTCTGAGGATTGCATTCAGGGGCTTCACACTGGGCTACACTCTCAGCTTTTTTTTTTTTTTTTTTGGAACCAGGGATTGAATTCAGGCCCTTGCGCTTGCCAAGAAAGATTTTATTCCACTGAGCCATCTCCCTGACCCCACTCAGCTTTTTTACTAACATTTAAAAAAAAATTGTGAAATAGGATCTTTTCTGAGTTGGCTGGGCTCAGACTGCTGTGTGGGTTTGTGGATCCCTAGACGCAGCTGTGTGCTACACTGCAAGAGCTTGTGGACACTGAACCTTCTCTGAGCGCTGCCTCCCACACGCGCAGCTCCTCATTTTCAGCTTTCTGTTGCAGGAAGGAAGTGAGCAGGCGCCATTCATGAGCGAAGAGGAGCTGATTAGCATAATTGATGGTGTTTTGGGAGATGATGACAAGAACAATGACGGATACATTGATTATGCCGAATTTGCAAAGTCACTCCAGTAGAGCTGATGTGGCCGCCC